TTAAACCTTGATTTCTTTTCAACAGATTCTTGCTTGATCTCATTCTTATTGTTCTTACTTTAATTCTTTTATTTTCAAATACATTATCTTCTTTATCGTTTAAATAATATTATGTTAACACAATTTTGGTACTTGGTATACAATCTATGTGAGACGATACTCTATTCACTTTTTATTACTTATTTGGAATTTCGTACACTTGCGAAAAAGCATGTCACATATAAATTAGTAATATAACTTGTTATGCATCACATGTGCTATAATTTGGGTTTATATAGGATTGATTTCCATATCCAATTTTGTATTCTAGGATATTTAATTATAATTATTGGTGTTTAAAATGTTATTAAAATATAGTTCTATGACTCGAGAGATGAGATGGGATGGTAGAAATCTCTTCTCCCTTAACCAGACTTCTTGAGTCCAAACTCTGAATATGGAGTCTCTTTCAATACTCGGGAGAGAGCGTTTGGACCAGTGGACTTTGGATACTAGATAATTAAAATTATAAAAAAAAATATAGTTCTACGTATATTTTTTCTATATTTGTCTTTTATTAAATTAATTCAATTGTGGATGGATATAAAATAAAATTTCTATTCAATTAATAATTTATTCGAGAAAAGTATTTTAATTTGAATAATTAGTATATTCAGTTAAATTAAAAAAATGATTCTTTTATTTTATGAACCAATTAAATTAAAATTTTTAATTGATAAAATTAAAATGCTTAAAGATATTTTTATCGATCTATAAATTTAGTAAGAATATTTTCGCAAATCTCAATTTAAATTCGAGATTTTTTTTCTCCTTCTAATCCTAATTTTAGCTTAGAGTTGCTGTTGTTTATCAGTGGCAGTCCTCTACCTTTTACTTTTTCTCTCGCTTCACTTTCTTTTGCTTTTAATCTTTTTTCTTCACTTTAATACACTCATATTTGTCCCTTTTTTTTTTTTGTTATAGTTACTTTGTCTTCATATTTGGAGTTTTTTTTTTTCCTTTTTTGCGAGGGTGGTCCCTTATTTGTAAAGGGTTTATTACTAAATAAAATATGATATTTGATTTATTTAGTTGGAAACTTTAGATCTTGATTCACGGGTGTGAATTTTCGATCGATGAAACCTGGTAGTACGACCTATTCCTCTATTGATATGATTGATGCATAGTGACAGAACTCATATATATTCATCATATGTTGCAAAATCTTGAAAAAGCAATTTAGATATAGAAGACCGAGAGAGTTATTATTTTATCATTCAAATCAATTAACGGACTAATTATTATTTTAATTTTTCAAAAAAATATTAATTATTCTCTATTGTTAAAAGATTAGTGAACTCTATTAGTTAATAATAGTAAAACTTTATATGTGGTTATATATAATTATTTGTAATTTTTAATATTATTATTGAATTATATTTTTAAAAAAAATTGGAGATGTATCGTTCGAAGTTTTGTTAATTTTTTTTCCAAAAAAGTAGACAGATTATATATCAATGCATTACATATTAATATTATTATTATTATTATTATATTAATGTTTTTTTTTTTTGAAACAGATTATTATATTAATGTTGATGATACGATCAGGACTCCAAAGAATTGAATGAAGTCATAGTACGATTGCCAGTCCAATCAATATACCGTTAATTATTAGTTTATGGAACAGGAAACATACCCTCTTTCAACAACCACCAACGGCACGGGGGATAAATTGGCGAATCTAGGCCACGTGACTTTATCACTTTTTTCTCTGTCCTGTCTTTTAGCCGTCGATATTTCCAAAGATTTTGGATTGGGACTTTCCAACCTCATGTTATTGGTAATTTACGACAATATCCTTTTTGGCAAATAATGAACTTTAACAAAAAAATTTTTAACTTCAACCAATTCTTTAATTTATTAATTAACCCCTAAATTAATTTTGATTTCTTAAGGATCATGACCTCAATCTTTTTATCTTCAATTAATTTCTCAACGAAGATATATACTTATTTGATAAAACGTTTTGTAATTAACAACCAAAGCAGAGTTCCATTGACTTTTAAAGAAATCAATAAGATAAAATAGAAAAACAATTTCCACATAAAACTAATGTCAATCCTTATTCGGAATAGAAAAAATTTACGATTGTCTGAACTATTAATTTGATGTATATGTTTAATATTATTAATTGAGGAAAATGATCTTTGTACTTTCTAACAAAATAATTCAACCAAATACATTTAGTTGCAACTTTTTTTTTAAATATAAAAACAGGAAAAATTAAAAATTCAGACACCACATAAATTACTAAACTCCTCCCCCACCCCTACGTGGATGTATTGTCAGCTTGCTCTTCTCTGTCTTTTAGGCCGATCGGGATTGGCTTGAGGATTGGACTTTTGAGGTAAAGTTGCGAGAGGAGACAATACTAGTACGCGAATGGAAAGTCACAAGACAGAGAACCTACTTCGCTTACTCTTTCAATGCTTTCCTTAGTCGAGATGAACTACTAGTCTTTGACCATTCGGTTTGAGCCAAAGCAGCTTATGCCCTCACAGAATCTGATTCAGCTTTAGGTAAATCCGCCTTTCCGATGGCATTTCTTTTTCTTGCCATAGTTTTTCCTTCACTCGCCTACCGCTGAGCTTGAACCAGAGACGAGGGCTTCTCTTACCATCCCTTTACGACTTTGAACTTACACCTTCCTTTGCTTGTGGTAATAACTTGTAAAGGCAAGAATTTTGTGTCTCTCCTAATTCCAACCTCCTGCTTCATTAACATATATACTAACTGATTCAAACCATTATTGCAACCCATCGTTATCTTTCCATGCCACAAGAGCAAATTTTCTAGTTTCCATAGGCAAACTCTCAAATGGATCGTTTAAATAAATTATCACGTCAAGTATGAACATGGATCTTAGATTGTTTGCATTGCATAGAGATTACAGTTTGTGCTAATGTGACCCTACTAGTCATAGACAAGTGGTTAGCTTTCCATGAAAGCATCCTCTTCCTAGCCTTCTGCAAAATATAAACATAAGATTTCTTGGTTATCCTTTTAAGGAGATGAGAAATAGCAAGATATTTGTCAAACTTATCAATATGCAAACCCTAGCTGAGAGCTAATCTGTGCTAACAACTTGAGTAATGTTTTTAGAAAAATGAATTTGAGTCTTAAAGGCATAACTTTCTAACTTCAACTGGAGTAAAATTTTATAAATTACAAACAACATCAAATAAGATAACTTTCTAACAACACGAGATCTTCTGTAAAAAATAGATGGAATGAAGCATGCGCACCACAAAAAAGAGAAATAGGCTTCAAAGACTTATTATCCATAGCTTTATTAATAGCTTGAGAAAGCCTCTCCATACATAATATAAAGAGACAAAGACTCAACAGGTCACCTTACCTAGGCCCTTTAGAATGATAAAAAATATCAGAGCTAACACCATTCTATAAAATCTTCATAGAGCAAGTAGTAAAACATTCATGACAATCAGTTGGAGTTCCCAGCAAAAAGTCCCATCAAATTCTATCATAAGTCTTTTCTAATTCAACCTTGATAGCCATGAACCCAATGTTTCCAACCTTCGTTTACATCTTATGAATAATCTCGTGAGTTGTGATCACATTGACAATGATGGACAAAATTATTGAGACTAATCACTTAAAGGAAGAATATTTTTTAGCCTATTTGCTAGAATTTTGGTGATTATCATATAAGTGACGTTACATAAACTGATCGATCGAAAGTGAGAAAAAAAGAGTCAGGTCGAAGACTTTCAGGATTAAGATCAGTTAGTGGCATTCATAGAGAAATGCAAAGCTTGCCAGTCGAAAATACTTTTAGTCTCTTGACAAATGGCATTTATAGAGTTTGTTGATAAGACTAGTAATTTTCTCAATAACTAGATTTATATCTACCCCAAAATATTTTAGGACTATTATTTCTAAATATACCGTATAATATGAAGAATATTACCTTCAAGAACACCTAAGAAAAGGATTAATGCATGTTTGGTTTAGTTATTCTGATAACTGATAATAACAGCCATTTAGTAGGTTGTTTGATAAAAATTTATAAATAATTGATGTTAAAATGTAACATAACCATAAAAACATATAATTGTTTTTTATATATTATCACATCACAATATATATTATCTTTTAAAGTGAATATATTAATTATTTATATTTTAATATTGTATAAATAAAAAAATTAATTAAAACGCTTTATAATATAACTTTTTATTATTTTTAAATAAGTATAAATAAATGGTCACATGGAATTATTAATTTGGAAAAAATAAGTAAAATATAAACTATGATAGGCCCTCCCGTTTTTGATATTTTTGGAAAATTTATATTTTTTTATCAAATAAATTACAGATCTATATTTGTTTGGCACATATATATGTTATTTATATTTTTTGGTTTCTCTCCATTTTATATGGAGTATTTATTTTATATTTAGTTTGTTTATATTTGGACATGTATGCAACTTTTAGAGTCTTAAATAGATGATGATCCTTATAACTTGAAGTTTAGTAACGCCGTCTATTCCTCTATTAAATTTAATGATTCAAATTTTTTTTATTCGTTATAAACAATTAGTTTGTAAATAATTAGACAATCTACGAAAGATTTAGAAGATTTATTTAGTCAATCACTTCAAAGAGATATCAATTTTTCAATCTTTTGATTCTTTAATTAGATTTTTTTATTCGATCAATCAACTCTGTTATACTATATTTTAATAATACCAGATTTCTTTTATGTATGGTCTTTAAAAAGAGGGGCTATGTTCTCTTTTATGATTCGTGTTACTTTGAAATTATAAATGAAATTCTAATATATTATATTTGAAAAATATGTAACAAAAAATAAAAATACAAACAGCCTTTGGAGAATTCTATTAGCTATTAGGTTTGACTAACTAAATAGCGGATTCTGATTTGTGGCCTAACCAAATATATTTTTTACTTTTTTTTCGTGGGTGGAGAAAGGCCGAAACCAAATGGCCACAAGCGTAATTCCACTAAAACTCGACCCCATTATACCAACAAATATCTAGTTCAAACATTAAAAAAATAGCAGCAGGTAGCAGCGGAAGATCTGCGCAAGCGAAAGACAGTGACTCCAAGTCTCCAACGCCAAGAACAGGAATATTACATAGTCAACCAAAAGCTGTGGTCTCTCAGTATAAAATTGCCACTTTGCAACATCAATCTCTCCTCACTACTGCCCTCCCTTTTCACTGTAGCTCTCTTTCATTCCCTTGGTCTCTGAGTCTCCTTTTTGAAGCTATGGCGGATCTGAAATCAACATTCTTGGAGGTCTATTCTGTTCTCAAGAAGGAGCTACTTCAAGACCCGGCTTTCGAATGGACACCAGATTCTCGTGAATGGGTCGAAAGGGTAATTTTTTTTCAACAACTTCTTTGTCATTATTTATTTTAGCTTCTTTGTCCTCCAACTTATTTAATTTACTTGTTTTGCTTGATTTGGTTTCTGGGTTGTAGCTTGAATCTTTAATCCATACTTATATGTCTGTTTTTGTTTAATATAATATGGAGAAGAATCCAGAAGGAAGTTTAGACTGGGTAGATTGGGTAGGCTACAACATGAAAACTAAAATGGTTACTAAGAATTGTATATATGTGTGTAATTAATGTTTAGATTGGGTAGTTTGAAATGGTGAAAAGGAAGTTGATGTAAAGATGGGAATTTTAGAAATTATGCCAAAACAAGCAAATTCCTAATTGCCGTGAAAGGGTACATTTTTCCAATTGAGATAATTATATAGTGTGAAATGTGGGGAGGTTAAATGCTGCCGTGTTGTTGAGTCTGCCTTTTATTCGACACACACTTCACCATCGTCCTCAAATGTTAAGCAAAGTTGTTTCTTTTTTCTTATTTCACTCATTCTTAGTTAAATTTCCGTATTAGAATTTCCTTTCAAAGTAAAAAATGAGATCAGCAATTTGCTTGGTTTGTGTAATTTTGACAGGAAAATTTGTTTCTAAAAGCTCTATTCTTGGCTTTACAATGGCTATAAGAACCATCTTTGTTATCATTGATTTGGTGTGGTGACTGTAGCCGTTGGACCAAGGGGTATAGAACGATAGGTTGCTGTTTTTAAATGCAGCATTTTTGAGAATTAAAAACAGCAGTGCTCCTTTGCAACCAATGCAACTCAAATGCAGTTCTGAGTTATTGTCCAATATTAGCTTTGAAGCTTTAAGAACACTTGATTTTTTAATGCATAATGATTATTTGGTCCAACACTATTTGGTTAGTCTTCTCTTTTATTCAATAATAACTCATGATTGTTCCTTCAGCAATTTGCTTGAAATTCACTAACCACTGTTTAGTATTGGCTGATCTCATTAATATTAGTTGCTGTAATTGTTTAGCTATTGTACCCTGGAACATGGTTAATATTGAAAAGCTTTATCTGAGTTGCATAATGCACTTTTAGTAATTTTGCTTTTCTGACTTTCATGTGCTCTATTTGTTGCAGATGCTGGACTACAATGTGCCTGGAGGTAGGCATATATCAACATAATGAAGAAATTCATAATTAATTATCAACTTGTGAAACTTATGTTGTCAGTATTAGAAAAGAAAAAGAAAAAAACCATGCAAGGTATGAAGGGTTGAAAATTACTGAAATTATTATCAACTGCAATTCTTTTTTCCCAGGGAAGCTGAATAGGGGGCTCTCTGTGATTGACAGCTACAAATTGTTGAAAGATGGACAGGAATTAACAGAAGAAGAAATCTTTCTCGCAAGCGCTCTTGGTTGGTGTATTGAATGGGTATGGCTCTGAGAACTGAAAACCTTTGCTGTTCTCCTCTGCCGAGGCTATTGCAGAATATGTCCACTAGTTGAAGTAGCATTTTCTGTCAGTTGCAGAATTGTCTCATTCTTTGTTCCATTATTTTTGCAGCTCCAAGCCTATTTCCTTGTCCTTGATGATATTATGGATAGCTCTCATACACGACGTGGTCAACCATGTTGGTTTATGGTGCCCAAGGTTTGTGCTCATCATGAACTTGACTTTTTTGCTATAATTAAGTTTTTTGTTTTCCTTTTTTGCTGTTAAAACAATGACCTTTGTTGAATTATATGTTGCAGGTTGGTCTTATTGCAGCAAATGATGGGATTTTGCTTCGAAATCACATTCCCAGGATTCTTAAAAAGCACTTCCGAGGGAAAGCATACTATGTAGATCTTCTAGATTTATTTAATGAGGTAATTAACTTGCTAATATTTGTATTATTTCCTTCTGACTGTGACAATATAATTATAATTTATTCATGCTATGCTTACACAGGTGGAGTTTCAAACAGCCTCAGGACAGATGATAGATCTGATTACAACACTTGAAGGAGAAAAGGATTTATCGAAGTACAATTTATCGCTGTGAGTAAATATTGACATATGTCTATCCCTAAAGCCAAGGGTGTCACTGGACTCTAAATATTGGGGACTAAAAATAAGAATGATGAAGATAAAATAAACAAATAAATAACTATAGATTTGGGAACAATCTTGGTTTTCAAATTATGGGTTCACACTTGCATAATCATAAAAAAATATGTATAATTATCCTTTGAGTATTATTCTTATTCATTAAATATCTGAAAAGGAACAGATAGTTATATGTTTTTCATTTCAAACTGCATATATAAATGTCTCTAAGTAACTATTCAATTGCCCAACTTTCTGTATGCCACTGACTGCTGGATACCTGAAAGTTCTGTGTTACATGACTATGTAGAAGCAAAAAAGGTCTGAGTTTGAACAATTTCTTGTAGCAGTTCAGTATAAGAAATCAATTTATGTTTTTTGAATTTCATCATGTAATTTATATCAAGTCATCTTTTCATGGATAAAACTTAATCTTTCCGTTTATTTTTTTATTTCTTTAGTTGATGTTGTTTGACAAGTTACATATAAATTGTCTGGGAATTGATGCAGTCACCGGCGAATTGTTCAGTACAAAACTGCCTACTACTCATTTTACCTTCCTGTGAGTATCCGCAGCCTGATTTATCAGCTTGTTTTAAAACAGCATTATCAGCCGAATTCAGTGGCTTAGTTGTGATTCCACGATTCCGATAACTCACTAAAACTACTCAGGTTGCTTGTGCATTGCTCATGGCTGGTGAGAATCTGGACAGCCATATTGATGTACAGAATATTCTTGTCCAGATGGGAATCTACTTCCAAGTACAGGTAATTTTAGACATGATGGCATCAAAATTTTCCTTCTCTTAGTCTGAGTTGAATCATAAAAATTTTCCTGATTGCATTTTTTCAAATGGAGGACTCAAATAATTTAACGATGATATATTTTCCTGCAACAAAAATTGATAAAAAGAGAGTGCATGGGGTTTTGCATTGCTATTTTCAAGGTTTAAGGAAACTGATATATGTAATTCATTCTAGGTAATCAAATTCTTTATCTGTGCCAGTTGTTACTTACTCTTTTTATCTGTGTGCAGGATGATTATTTGGATTGCTTTGGTGATCCCAAGACAATTGGCAAGGTGAGCTGACATGTGATGGTTGTATGATATTGAAAATGAATTTCATGCACAAACCTGCTCTCTCTATATATAATTGTAGTCCGCTTGTCTAGATGGAGTTCTTTCTGACATGCTTTAGTGAAGTCAGATAGGGACAGATATTGAAGATTTTAAGTGCTCTTGGTTGGTCGTGAAGGCTTTGGAGCGATGCAATGAAGAACAAAAGAAAGTTCTACATGTAAGATCAATGAATTATTTATATCATCTCCCCTCCTTATTCTAATGCGAGGTAGCTTCACAAATAGATAATGTTATTTCCTTCAGGAGCATTATGGGAAACCTGACCCAGCCAGTGTGTCAAAGGTGAAAGTCCTCTATGATGAGCTGGACCTTCAGGTATGAGCTTGATCTCAACCAATGGCTGCACTAAATTTGAGATAGAACATACATTACATTTCTAGCGTCTATATGCAGGTGTTTGGTAGCTTACCAAGTTACCAAATTTACTTTCTTTACTTGTCAGTTTGTTTGTAGAGATATTCCATTATATAAACCTTTAATTTTTCTTTTCTTTTACTTAATAATTCTTCAATTTCCACTTAATAGGGGGTATTTATGGAGTATGAGAACCAAAGCTATGATAAACTAGTAACCTCCATTGAGGCTCACCCTAGCAAGGCAGTGCAAGCAGTGTTGAAGTCTTTCCTTGCCAAAATTTACAAGAGACAGAAATAAAAGAAAAGAAAATAAGAATATGCAGAAGCACAGTCAATGATTGGATGATGCCGAATAATGCGATTTTATTTGGGAATTGTATCATTAATTTCCTAATTAAGGATGATTGCAACTCTTTGTTGAACATTTTGATATTGGTAGTCTTTGCTTATTTGAAATTTGATTGAATGATTCTCATCTTTAATAAGATTTTAATCCATTTGATACTTGGTTTGCTGAGCTTGAGCATTCATTGCATCTGCCCTCAAATTCCGTTAAGTGATGAGTTGATATTGACTTTGAAAGCTCCATTAGCCATTAATTCATGAGATACTGTTCCTTGAGCTTACCCCATTACATTAATATGGATGACCAACATATGGTTAGGCAGCTTACCTAACCTGTTTTTCTGATTGGGAAGGTTTGAGCAAATTAATGACTTGTGTTAGAAATTTGGTAGTTAGGATTAGGAGCTTATTGGCGGCTGTGAGTCCATTATTGGATAAACACACAATTTCCCTCTTCAACTTGTCTTTGATATTGTACACTAAGGAATAGCCTAACAGCAATTACATATAGGATTTGGTTATAGACCCATGTTCGAATCTCTCTCTTCCATACTAAAAAAAAAAAAAAATGTCTCTAATATTTAGTTAAGCCCAAAATTACCTTTTAAAATCAGTTTAGAACCAAAATTTCAGTTTATGATCAATCAACCCTAATTTGGGGATTGAATATAATATATGTATAAACCAAGCCAAGTTAAGAGTAGGTCTAAGTACCAATATTTCGTAAAATTGTCTAATATTTTGTAAAATAGTTCTCTCTCCTTCTCAAAATATTTTATAAAATTGCTGAAGTGTTTCTAAACATAAACTGCTAATTTTTTTTTTTCTTTTTAACTCTTTTTATATTCTCAAACTAACTTATGAATAACAAAATAAAATTTCCTTTAAATAATTTTAAAGATGAATTTTATCATATCATCTTATGCATTCAAGAAATTTTGTATTATTTTTAGGTCCGTTTGACAAATGAATTTAAAATGTGAAATTAATTTATAAAATTAATTCTAGTTAAATTTTTTTTTGAGAAAAATCAAATTAGAAATTTCATTAATTAGAAACTATATATAGATATGGGATACAAATCAATATGTTTTTATATTTTGCTTTAGAAAATCTAATGATAAACCACTTGTACAAAGAATAAAAAAACACAATCTTGATTTGAAATATCCGATTGAGTTGACATAACATAATATTTGAGTCATAGACGATCACTTGCTCCTCTTGGTGGCTATTGATGGCTATTGTTCGACTCTATAGTCTTTCTACAAGTCCGATCTGATTAAGTTCAAATTTCTTCCTTCTATTGAAGAGGAGATCTGCACTTATTTCTGCATAACTATCTAAATAATAAAAGACGCTAGACAAAATAAACATAATGGCGATAACAATAATTCAGAACTAAATCTGAGAATAAAATTCTAAAATATGGGCAACAATAAATCTCAATAATTATGTGACAATTTAATTCAGATCTATAAATAGATCTGAAGATTATTTGTAAAAAAAATAATAAAAAAAGAAAGGGATAACGACCAATGGTTGCCTATGGAAGAAGAAATGAAAAGTTTTAGGTTTTAGGTTTTGAGACAAAGAGAGAGAGGGAGAGAGGGCAATGAGATTCTTTTTTAAATTAAAGAGGATGAAGAGTTTTATTATAAAGCTTTGATTGTTTAAATTTGTACAATTCATTTGAAAATTTCATATTTTTTATTAGAATTTTACGTAATTATATTCAAATCCATAAAATTGAATTCGTATAATTTAATTCCTGATTTTTTTTATCAAATATAAAAATTTGGATTTATAAATGAAATCCGCAATTTTGTGGAATTCATTTATTCCAAATAAGTGGATAGTTACATTAACTAAGAATTTGGTTAAAATCTATATAAATATATAAAAGTTGAAACATAAAATCCATTCAAAAAAATACAAAGTTGAAACATAGAAGCATGGCATAATTTTAGAGTATTAAGGTACTTATGTGGCAAAATGTTAACCTATTTAGTTAGAAATAATTTTTATATTTTTAAAAACAATTTGTGGAATTTCATTTATTCCGAAATAGTGGATAGTTACATTAAACTAAGAATTTGGTTAAAATCAAATAAAATATAAAAGTTGAAAACATAAAATCCATTTCAGAAAAAAAACAAAGTTGACATAGAAGCATGGCATAATTTTGGAGGTATTAATGTACTTATGGTGGCAAAATGGTTAAACTATTTTAGTTAGAAATAATTTTTATTTATTTTTAAAAATTATTTATTTTTAATATAATATTATTAAAGAGAAGTTAATTAATATCGTTAATAATATTTTCAGTTTTTTAAATTAATGAAATTAATTATATTATTAATATTTTAAAAATATTTCGCTTTCTTTTTTAAATAATTAAAAATATAATTAATATTTATTCTCTTTGTTTTTCTTTTTTCACTATTATGGAATTTGTATAGATATCTATTTCAATATAAACGAAACTATAAACAAAATCAAATCATACTTTCAACAAAAAGAATGATTTATTTGCAAACATTATAAAACCATTTCCATGGTATTTTATTGATTTGAGCTTAATCAATATGGTGATGGCAATGAAAGTACAGAATGTATTCAATTTTCGATGATCAACTAAAGCATGCTTTTGTGATTTGTAATATTATTCCATAACTATCGGTGTATTTGATCAATATAAAAGCATTTTATTTATTATTACTATAATTAAGTGTTTATTTTTGTTTAACATAATGCCATCTAAATCATAGAACTCACTTTTTCATTGGGTTTTTTTTAATGAAATTAAAATTAAAATTTATTTTCTAACATTACGTGTGAAATAGAGAAATTTTTATAATAAAATTCATGCTTATGCTTTTTTTTTTTTTTTTTTTTTTTTTTTTTTTTTTTTTTTTTTTTTGGTAAATGGAGATATTACTTCTCAATCTATTCCAAATCAAGACAAACTTTGACGAATAATTTTTTTTAAGTTTTTAATGTTTATTGAATTTGTGCCTGAATTTTAGATTATTTAATTCAAAATAAATTCAATAATTGATATTTGCAAAGATTATTTTAAAACATATTAAAATACTTCTAGAAATTAAAAAATTTAAGCTTAATTATAAGCTTGGTTTATGTATGTATATGTTAATATATTGGTCCTTTTATAGGAATTTGGAAAAAAATAATTTTTATTTTCTTTTTTTAAAAAATTAGTAAATATAATATATTGAATATTTGAATTCTTAAAAATGATTATTTGTTATAACAAAAATAGCATTTTCATTTTTAAACATCATAAACATTATAAAAAAATGATTATTTATTATAAATAAAATTATATTTTTATTTTTAAACATTATATAATACCCACATCCGAAGCTTAGAAAATCACTGTTATTATAATAAATGAGGTAGTTCGGTATTTTGGAACTCCTTAATGGGTACTGTCTTTGGTCTATTTGGTTGGTGAGAAACAAAATATTAATAATGATGACAGCAAGAACCCAGAAGAAGTGCTGGATTTGGTTAAAGTTAGGAGTTTTGAATTGTTGAAAAGTTAAAAATCAGATTGGATCCTTCAATTTTTGTGATTGTTATGATTTCCGATTGAGGTTGTAAGGCAGGAGGTGCTGTTAAAAGGAAGAAGTTGATTTCAGTTAAGCCAACTTTATGGATTAGCCCATGGTTACTTGAAATTTAATACTGACGGTTCCTCTTTAGGAAAACCGGGTTTTGCTGGTTTCTAAACTCCAATGAAGCTGAGTTGCTTGCAACTTTTGCTGCCATTGAGATTTTCACCCTTTCAAATGTAAAGCATTGTCCCTTGATCGTGGAATCAGATTCTAAAAATGCTTTATGCTGGATCTGTTAGAAGCAGAAGAGACCTTGGAAGTGGTGGCAGAATTTTAATAAGTTTGATCATTTGGTTGCTTAGCTTAACCAGGTTCATTTTGTCTTCACTCTTGGAAATGAGAATTGTTTCGTTGATTTTAGCTAAAAAAGGAGTTTCGGTTCACATCGGCCTTTATATAGCTTCTAATATTTGAAAATATCAATATAATGACAAACAAAGTATAGAAAACGCATTTAACGAGGTTATATTTACAAGGCAATTATTTTATCTTTTTCTCTCTCCACTTTAATTAAAAATGCATGAAAAACTCAATTTATGAACGAAATTTTAGTTCCCTGCACCATTTATAAGGCAATAATTCTCTTCAAATGATAGCTCATAACTTATAAGGTAAAAATTCTCTTCAAATGACTGTGCACAATTTACAAGGCAATAATTCTTTTCAAACGACAACGCACAATTTAGAAAACTGTGTCTATTCCAAACCCTAAATCAACGATTTTCAATTTTAATTTACATTCAAAAATTGAAGATCATACCTATCCAAACTCATACGACATCACGTAAGTTAGAAGACTGTGCTCATTTTGTTTTAGAATGTTATTTTAGTTTAGTTTGAAATGCTTTAAATATCCACATTTTGTTGTATTAAAAGGGTATTATTGTGTGTTCATTTTCTATTTATTAGTTATTATGACATCGTTTGTCCGTTATTTTTTGTTTTTAAAATGATTACATTTTGTAGAAAATACTTTTACATTCTCTTCAGTTTTTCAGACAATGAAGCCTTAAAAGCAAACAATAGATGTATATGTGTAAAAAAGATTAAGTCCAATTGTGTATGTATTAAATTTAACTGCAAACATGTATAAGTAGTGCTGATTCAAAAAGTTGGTTTACACCTTTTATTTATCTATGTAAATCTAGAAAATAAAAAAAAATATAAAATGCAAGCAACTTAATATAAAATGCACATATGCACCGAAGAGGATAGAAACAAATACATAATAAAACATCCGCAGACCCAATATATGTTCTCTACATAAGCTAAACTGCTTGTATTGCTTCCTTTACAATGCCTAAATCAAATTCAATTGAAGATACAATTTTAGTTTTCCGCAAGATTTGTTTTAATCGTTGTCTTATCTCAAATTTTTTAATTTTAAACCGTTACTTTTGAGTTTTAGTCATTAATTGACTTTATTGGGAGAAGAGAATATAACATAATTTACTTTGAGTGAAGAAAGGTGTAACAAATGCAACGTTGAGGGTAAATTTGAAAAAGGAAATTATTTCCTTAATCTTGTACAAATCAACTTTTGTCCAAATCAATGAAACTGAGGGAGTATGATAAATCTAGCTCCATTAATCAAAATTTTTAATCCACTAACGTCTGTGACCTTAGGCTTCCTCAAAGAATGGATTTAATTATTATTTTATAAGCTATTATTGAGTTAATTGAAACAATCTATCTATGTATATAAATATATAAAAACCGAAACTTAGAAGCTTATATGGCATAATTTTAGAGAGTAGGTACTTATGTGAAAAATATTAATCTATTGAGTTAGAAATAATTTTTATATTTTTTAAAATTATTTTTATCATAATTAATAGACAACTTAATTAATGTCATTTATAATATCTTCTGTTTTTTAAATAATTAATAAAATTATTAATATTATTAATATTTTAAAAACTTTCACTTTCTCTTTTGAAATAATTAACAATATCATTAATATTTGTGCTCTCATTTTCTTTTCTCCATTGTTATAGAATTTGTATAAATGTGTATTTTAATATAAATGAAACTATAAATCAAATCAAATCATACTTTTAACAAAAAGAAATAAATCTTTGCAAATAATATAAAACTATTTGCATAGCATTTTATTGATGTGAGCTTGATCAATATGGTTTGGCGATGAAATTACGGAATATATTCAGTTTTCGATAATCAATTAAGGTGTGATTTTATGATTTATAAATTATTTTATAACTATTAGATTAAAATTCATTTTCCAATTTCATTATGTGTGATAGAGAAATAATTTATAACATAATTGATGTTTATGTTTTGTTTGGTGAAGGGAGATAGCGATACTTCTCAACTTATTCTAAATCAAGACAAACTTTGGTAAAATTCTCTAAAAAATTTTAATGTTTATTAGGTTTAAGCCCGAATTTTAAATTATTTATTTAAAATGAATTCAAATAATTTATAAAGATTATTTTACAATTTATTAAAATATTTATAGAAATTAAAATTTTTAAGCTTAATTATAAACTTGATTTATGTTATTTTAAAAATGAAAAATGAATTCAAATAATTTATAAAGATTATTTTACAATTTATTAAAATATTTATAGAAATTAAAATTTTTAAGCTTAATTATAAACTTGATTTATGTATGTATATATTAATTTATTCTTTTTTTTTTTTTTTGCAAGAATCTGAGAAAAAAAAAATTTTTCATTTTATTTATTTTTTTATATTAGTAAGTATAATATATTGGATATTTGGATTCTTGAAAATAACTATTTGGAATCTTCAAAGTGTCCAATGGAAATTCTTTTCCAAGTGAAATTACCCGAGTTTCCTTTCTCTTTTTTTTTTTTTTTTTTTTTTTTTTTTTTTTTTTTTTTTTTTTTTTTTTTTTTTTAACTAATGGAGATGTTTAAATTTATTAATTAATTGTAGTAATTTCATTATTCTATTGAATCTTTAATCGTTGCTAATTGATAATGGAAAATGCTTGAGAGGTAGAATAATAAACATGTGATAAAATGATTCAAGAAGATTTGTAAACCCGCAGCAAAGCGTAGTCAACTTCGCTTGTTCAATTCTAAAATACCAAAACTATAAATATGTCACGCGAATCCAAAATTTTCATTTTTTTTTTTTAATTTCAAAGTTTTGAAATTCTTTTTATTTTATTCGGTTTTCTATTTCAAAAAATATAGATTTCTCCATATATGTTTTTTTAAGGAAATTTCTCCATATATGTTAATCTCTTTCCTTTGATGGGGTTTTATTATATTCATTGAGAATAAAGGTTAATTTGATCCATGAACTTGTTTAGCATGATCAAAAGGGTCAGATTTGACCTTTTGGGCCAATTTAGCCCTTGAATTTATATAAAATAATTAAAACTGTCCAATTTCACTTTTTAGGCCAATTTAACTCTTGAACTTCTTTTGATTTTTATAAATTAATAATTGATTTAATTTAACATGATTGACTTTTTATCTTTTTTTGTCTTACACTAAGAACACTCAGATCAAACTTTTTCAAAACTTATTAATATAAATATAAAATTCATAAAAACATCTTTTCTTGTAATATGATGAATTTATAAACATGCATTATAACTTTAAATCATCAACATGGAAAATGGCATAGATTTCAGAAGTGATAACCTAGTAAATAGAGATTAATTTTAAAATGTTCAAATTAATACAATTCATAAATTTTCAAAAACTATCGATCCAAAGGTAAAGAGTTAATTAATATGACTTTTATATATCATTTTTCTATTATTATAATAATTAATTTTTTTAATAAATAGTCAGCTCGATCCTAACTACAGTTTTATAAATTAGTCAGCTCGATCCTAACTACAGTTTTAATGTCTATATAATGATTTTCACATTGTAAGTACAATAAAGAATTAGAGGTTAAATTGACTCAAAAATGTCAAATATAATTTTTTAATAATTTTAAATAAATTCAGGGGTTAAATTGGCCTAAAAAGTGAAATCGAATTTTTTAAATAATTTTAGACAAGTTCAAGGGCTAAATTAGCCCAAAATGTCAAATCTAACCTTTTTTATCATGCTAAATAAGGTCAGGAAGCAAATTGAATTTTATTCCTATCAAATTGTCTAAGAGTTTAAATTAGTGGTAGGAATTTATTATTGACATTCAAATAACTAAGTTTGTTCAGTGTTTGTAGTTTAAAATAGCTCCCACGTGTAACGAGATTTTTGTCGAATTGTTAGTTCTAATGCTCAATCAATATAGTTAAAGAATATTGATAGATATTCAATTCAATTTCCTATTTCGATATTTTTTGGTATATGTTTTTATATATTTATAAATAAGTTTGTCAATATAAATGAAAGATTTATATTTTTCCATTAGAAAAATACTATTTAAGGATAATAAGTAAAAAAAAATTAATCCTTTAAAAGAATATAAAAATATCAAGTTATTTGTGTAGAATTTCCTAAAATGAAAAGGAATTTTATGAAACTTTATGAAAAAGATACAATCCACCGTTTCTCTCGTGATTTAATAACTTCATAGCATAAATCAAAAGTGATTTTATTGATCTTTTCATTAATATAAAAAGTGAAATGTGTCAAATTCGAATTTTATTAACCATAAAAATTTTTATCAATTTAATGAATTAATAAAATGTCTACGTAATTCTTATTCTTGATCGATTTTATAAAAATAGAAAAAGAAATATACCTGCAAACAAATCTTAGAAATCAATCATTCTTGGAAAAGGGGAAAAAAGTCAACATAATTTTTTATGGACCACTAAAAATAGTTTAAAGGCAAAAGAAAAAATCTGTTTTGCTTGTTGCTACTTTTATATTATAGTATGAAGGTGTATCCTATTATCATCAATAACCTTGAATTTATTGTTTTATTGCAATTTAATAATATTCATATCCAATTTTAAATAATTATATTGATTCTATTTTATTAAATTACAAAATTTATATCTTAAAATATATCATAATAGATTAAATTTATGTTTACTGTTGAGAATGTGTTACCGAATTTTTCTAAACTGAATTTTCATAAAATAGTATGAAATAAAATTTTAAATTCCAAAATATTTCGGAATAGAATCGAAATATGAGGGATATTCCATTATGTACAATTACACCTCTAAATATAATATTATTTAATTATTTATTTTAATAAATTTTTAAATTGATTGGTTTAATTATTTCCTACAAATAACTTATTCTAAAATTATTTCCTACAAATAAACTTATTTCTAAAAAAGTATATATATAATTTAAATTATTATTAAAGAAATATATTATAATATTATTATTTTAATAGAAAATTTAATTTAATATAAAATAGAAAATAAAACTCACTAAATGTATATATAAAATACAAAATTATGATATATAACACATTATATTAGCAAATTATATATATATAATTTTTTTTCTAAAAAAAACTATAAAATCAACTATTGTAGGTTTAGCAAAACATAAAAAAAAAAAAAAATTTATATTGATGCTCTGAAACAATGATTAATATATTTTATTATTACAATTATCTATCTATAGTATAAGATCTACAATATAAGTGCAAAAGATAATAAATCAAGTCAAGCTAATTCTCACTTTGAAAAAATTTATTATTTTGTTAGTATTTTATTATTTCATAAAATATTTTTTATTTTACGAATGCTTTTAGAATTTTAATAATATAAATTATTCATTATACAATTTATAGCATATAAATTAAATTACTTGCAACCAGTGAAATCAATGAATACAAAATATCACGATGAAATACCAGCAGAAAAATAATTTTTAAACATAAAATTTTTTGACTTAATTTTAGTTGATTAAAAAAATGCACGAACCTAACTAAAAGATCATATAATTAGATGATTATAAATACAAGAAGCATTAAATTAATTAAAAAAAATCCTAAATATTGAATTAAAATCACTTTAGCTATGGAGTATTTTCTTTCTGTGATTTTGAGAGTTTTTTTAACTTTAAGCCAACCAACAAGACTGAGGAGTCAAAACCCAACTGGGTCAAAAAGTCTAACTAATACGCGCAGTTGCCATTTTGAAATGTATGAAACAATTAATTTAAAAAAAAAAAAAAAACAAAAAACAAAGGATTTGAAAAGTCTCTTCCCTTTCAAATTGAATCTGCTCTCCTCTTTAGTCTCTCCCTCTTTCCAATGATTTTTATTTTCTTTAATTACTATTTTTATTCTTATTATTGGTTTATTACATCGTATCATTTCCTATTTTTCAGCTTTGTTTCTCTCCATTAGCCAATCTATTTCCCCACAATTTAATTACAATAAACTTTCCCTTCCTTTGATTCATCGCTGGATCACGGATTGTCATTTGTACAATTTTGATTCCATTTTACCCTTTTTCTCTTGTAACATTACATTTTAGCCTTTGGTAATGTTTTGTAGCAAATGGGTTTTGTTTATTTGTTATAGTTGTTTGATTGATTCTATCCTGAACGGAGATAAATAAAGGGTTGCTATTGATTTTTTTTTTTTTTTTTTTTTTTTTTTTTTTTTTTTTTTTTTGTAATATTCTGCTTTGAAAAGATTTAGTGGGTTTAATTTATTTTGCAGTGAAGTTGAGCTTTTTGTTAGAAATGAAGCTTCTTGTTCGTGTAATAGAGGCAAGAAATTTGCCAGCAATGGATCTAAATGGGTTTAGTGATCCATACGTGAAAGTGCAGCTAGGAAAGCAGAGGTTCAAGACCAAAGTGGTGAAGAAAAACTTAAATCCTAGTTGGGGAGAGGAATTTAGTTTTAGGGTTGAGGACTTGAATGAGGAGCTTGTAATTGCTGTTTTGGATGAAGATAAGTACTTCAATGATGACTTTGTAGGGCAGATTAAATTGCCTGTATCTCTAATTTTTGATGCAGATAACAAGTCTCTCGGCACTACTTGGTATACTTTGCAACCTAAAAACAAAAAGTCCAAGAACAAGGATTGTGGTATGTATGTCCCTTTCTTGAACTATAACTTTTTTGTTTTTATATTGAAATTCTTTGTTCTCCCAATTGGGTGCTTGAGGAACTATTATTGTTGTTGTTGCTGTTTCTTTTCAAGTTTGTGCATATTACTGTCTGTTGGTATGCATCCATAAGAATCTGTTATTGCCAACTGTTATTAGAAGCTAAAAGGTTTAAGTGTATGATGCTAGAATTTCTTTTAGTTGTTTGTTCATGATCATTACTTTTCCCCATCAATATACAATTTGCTTATCTAGTGAAATTTAAGATTTCACATAGCATTGCTTGCCTCATTTGTTGTTCTTGACACAGTTGTTGTGCTATGTAAGGTACCGTTTAAAATTGTAGTTTTCTTTTCTTTTCCCTTTCAGCAGGTGAAATTCTTTTAGGTATATGTTTTTCGCAGAACAATGCATTTGTTGACTCGAATAGTAGTGGCGATCCAGTATCACAGTTAAGGAAGAATGCAGATACAGTGGCAAAATCTCCTTCTAGGTCGTTTGGAGGGCCCTCAAACTCATCCTCTCCAGGGAGATTTGAGGAAATTGAATCCTTTAAAGAGGAGAAGCCTGGTGCGCCAAAAACTTTTGCTGTGAGAATTTGTCAAATGTTCAATAAAAATTCAGATACAACACCAGCCGTGGGTAGTAAAAGCATTGACAATTTAGAGCCACCTGAAATTGCTGTATCTGAGGTTTGTGATGATACATCAGATGATCCTTCCTCTCCTGAGGACTTTGTAGAAATAATGAGAGTGATGGAATCTAAAGATGTGGGAAATGAAATTCCAAGCAATCTACCTGGAGGTGTCCTTATAGACCAATCGTATGTGATTGCTCCGCAAGATTTAAACTCTATGATTTTCGCACCTGATTCAAGTTTTCAAAGATCACTTGCAGAAGTCCAGGGTACAACAGAACAACAATTTGGACCTTGGAAATTTGAAAATGGTGGTGAGAGCTTGAAAAGAATGGTTACTTACATGAAGGCTGCAACCAAATTGGTGAGGGCTGTGAAAGTCTATGAGGAACAGACATATTTAAAAGCTGATGGCAAGGCTTTTGCTGTTTTTGTTGTTTCGAGTACTCCAGATGTTATGTATGGGAACACCTTTAAGATTGAATTGCTTTATTGTATCACATCTGGTCCAGAGTTGTCTTCAGGCGAACAAACTTCACATTTGGTATTATCTTGGCGAATGAACTTTTTGCAGAGTACCATGATGAAAGGTATGATAGAAAATGGAGCTAAACAAGGTCTAAAAGACAGCTATGAACAGTTTTCATCTGTATTATCTCAAACTGTTAAACCAGTTGATTTGAAGGACATGGGATCTACGAAGGAACAGGTTTTGGCTTCATTGCAGGCAGAAAGCCAGTCGAATTGGAAACTGGCAGTACAATATTTTGCAAATTTTACTGTAGTTTCTACAGTTTTTATTGGATTATATGTACTTTTGCACATCTGGATATCTCCTTCCAGCACAATTCAAGGGCTAGAGTTTGTAGGACTTGACTTACCAGATTCAATTGGTGAAGTCATCGTGTGTGGTGTCCTAGTTCTTCAATGTGAAAGGGTGCTAGAGTTACTTTCTCGCTTCATGCAGGCCAGAGTACAAAAGGGTAATATTCACATCCAGTGAACTCAGCTGTTCATAAGGACAACAAACTATTCTGTCAACTCTTACAGAGTACTCTTTTCTGTATCTGACAGTATGGGTGCTTGGATATATTGTTATTTTTTTCTGCTGATTGCTCTGGCTTACTTTACTTGATTTCTTGTAGGCAGTGATCATGGAGTCAAAGCACAAGGGGATGGTTGGCTGCTCACTGTTGCATTGATTGAGGGAAATAATTTGGCAGCTGTTGATGCAAGTGGCTTCTGCGATCCATATGTGGTGTTCACCTGTAATGGGAAAACTAGAACCAGCTCAATTAAGTTCCAGAAGTCTGATCCTTTGTGGAATGGTATTTTCCTTGGCAGTTTTTTCATTTAAAGCAGAACAATTGCTGCTAAAAAGTATTCTCCAGTTGTGTGAATGATGCAATCTCTATATGGAATTGCGTTTATATTTAGTGATAAATATGATGCAAATTGTTCCTTTGATTTCTGATGTTGATGGACATTTTCTGTCTTTGCAGAAATATTTGAATTTGATGCAATGGATGAACCTCCTTCTGTGCTGGATGTGGAAGTATATGATTTTGACGGGCCTTTTGATGAAGCTACATCTTTGGGACATGCTGAAATTAATTTTTTAAAATCTAATATATCAGATCTTGCTGATGTGTGGGTTCCTCTTAAAGGAAAGTTGGCACAAGCATGCCAGTCTAAGCTGCACCTAAGAATTTTCTTGAATAATACAAGAGGTAGCAATATTGCTAAAGAATACATAAATAAGATGGAGAAGGAGGTCGGAAAGAAGGTACATGGATGGCTTGTTTGTATTGGATTCTCACATTGTCAATTTAAGTTATATGTTCTCTAACATTTTTTTTCCCATGTATTTTCTTATCTATTTAAATTCTTTATGGAATTCTTTCATAGATAAACCTACGTTCTCCACAAACAAATTCAGCCTTTCAAAAGCTCTTTGGGCTTCCACCAGAGGAATTTCTCATCAATGATTTTACCTGTCACCTAAAGCGAAAAATGCCCCTGCAGGTGCAGTTGGTGGCTTTTTCTTTTTCCTATTTTTTTCTTATCCTTTATATTCTGATGTCATATAATTCCTTTGGTATATAGTTAGTCAGAAAGTATGGCATTTTAGCCTTTTGCGAGTTAAATGATGGTAGTTTTGGTTTATTGACTTGATTTTGTAACTGTACAGGGTCGCCTGTTTCTGTCAGCAAGAATAATTGGGTTTCATGCAAATTTGTTTGGGCAGAAGACTAAATTTTTCTTCCTTTGGGAGGATATTGAAGATATTCAAGTTTATGCTCCTAAATTATCATCAATGGGTAGTCCCACTATTGTCATGACTCTCCGGAAAGGCAGAGGTATGGATGCTAGACATGGGGCAAAAACACAAGATGAGGAGGGGAGGCTGAAATTCCATTTCCAGTCTTTTGTATCTTTTAATGTAGCGCATAGGTAAGTGATCAATGTATCAGTTATACTCTTTCTAGAATGAATATCAGTCTACAATTGTTCTTTTATTTATTTTACTTTGTGGTTTACAAATTGTGTGCCCTTTCAGCCTTTCCTATCTAATTTCGTGTATTTTAATCTTCAGAAATCATAGCAACTGTAGTTAAATCATATTTTCTGGAAGTAAAATATGATGAAACATTCAATTCCATAGATTTATTATTTCAAAATTTTAGCTTAGTACTGTCATTAATAATACGTCAGAATAATTTTATACTAGCATGTTTATTCAAAATTGAAATGGACATGCGGCTCAATATGATTTGGTAACTTTGCTTGCTATTCACTTTAACTTTTGCATTATTGAACCATACATAAACTGCATTTTTGTTTCTTGGCTACAAAAGTTGATTATAGGGACATCCTGATCTTGCAGAATTGGTAGAATTCTTTATTTTTCATGGATATCAAAACATAATAATGTGAGATCTTTGTTGTGTCCTTTCTATTTTTCCTTAGTTGTTCTCATAAACTGAATGCCTTGACGGTGGACCATTTTGTTCCAAATGGCAATGAACCTGATCCTTGATCTGTATTTGACATCTCTACTTGCTAATCTTTTTAGCACCATTATTCTAGGAATGCTCATATTAATGCACATTGTTTCCATGCTAGAGCTTTGTTGGTTTTACAATATACTTGCTTTCTTTGTATTTATAAGTATATAGCAATTCTACTTGTGTTGTGTGCTAACAACTTTAAACTAAAAAAAGACGATTGCTAAATATGGGTGTGCCTCCTCTTCCTAGGTGCGTTTCATTTTTATCTCATATCCGAAGCCCCTTTTATCTTGAAATGATGCTCCCTATCTGTATTTTACACGGTTAGTGAGAGTTATGTAATTATAAAAGACAGAAATCAGTGGCATACATGGATTTTTAATTTTGTGAATGCTTCATAGGACAATCATGGCTTTATGGAAGGCTAGATCTTTGACTCCTGAACAGAAGGTGCAAATAGTTGAAGAAGATTCAGAAACCAAACTCCTCCATAGTGATGAAAGTGGGTCCTTATTGGATCTTGAGGATGTCAACATGTCTGAGGTTTATTCTTCTTCTGTTTCTGTCCCTGTAAGTTATTTCTTTTTCTCTGTCCCTGCAATAGCATCGCACGTTCTGCAGATTACTCTACCTTTATTTGACAGTAATTATTTTATTCTAGACCAATTTCTTGATGGGGCTGTTTGGTGGGGGTGAATTAGAGCGCAAAGCTATGGAGAAAGCTGGTTGTCTTAACTATTCTTACACCCCATGGGAATTGGTAAAGGCTGATGTATATGAAAGGCAAATATATTACAGATATGATCAGAGCATATCTCATTATAGAGGAGAGGTGACCAGTACACAACAGAAGTACCCCCAATCTGATCGTAAAGGTTGGCTTGTGGAAGAGGTTATGACTCTCCATGGAGTTCCACTTGGTGACAATTTTAATGTATGTCTATAGTGGTGACTGCTTATAAATTGCAAATGTCTTTACCTTGGTTTAACCTTATAATGATTCTATTAATTCTTCCTCTCACTTCAGGATTTATTTATTATTTATCTATTTCTCATTTTTCTTTATTCTGCGTGATTGATGTTTGTCTTTTATTCTCCGTAGCTTCACTTGAGATATCAAATTGAGGATTTGCCTGCAAGACCGAAATGCTGTTATGTCCATGTATTCATGGGAATTGCATGGCAGAAAAGCACTAAGCATCAGAAAAGGATTACAAAGAACATCCTCTCCAATTTGGAAGACTGGCTGAAGGTGATTTTCAGTCTGATTGAGAGGGAATATGCAAACAGATAGGAAATGTGCACTGCTGTATTCAATCTTTTTCAATTTCTATGAGAAATGTGTCACTGTCCATTTTGATCGAGGGAGTGCTCCAATCTCGTGTTATATTTGTCTGGCATTTCTTGAATTTGGGTATTCAGAGAGATTGTGAAAATGTTACTTTGAACTCCAAGAGGTATTCAGGGAGATCCTGACGATTCTTTGAACTCCAAGGGAAAAACGTTACTGACTCTGCTTGGGACAGGACTTCAGTGCTGAACTAATGGGAGGCCAGTTAGTTTCTTTCCGCACAATTGAAGATGGAAATCCTTTGTCCAAAAAGACCTGTAAATACTTGTACTCTACATAGATTCACTGGAGCTGCTCTTCTTCCATCATATTTGTAAAATTTTTCATCTTTTCTTGTTCAGAATTAACTGGCTTCTCAGGTGATGGCAGAACATTTTTGTTTTTAGCTGCACTGAATTTAGAATTCAGATGGCTTCGAGAAGTTCAGGTGAATGTATTGATGAAGCACATTTTTCGGGTAATAGATGTCCACAATGTCATATGTCAGCAACAGTTACGTTTAGCTCTGTGCAACAAATGCTGTTTATCTTTCTGTATCTGTTGAATAATTGTTCTATAGTCCTGTTCCTCGCTCCAGTGTCAATGTTAATCTTCTACGTATGGTTTGAGTTCTACAAGGTATCTTTTGAACTCTTCTGTTAGATTAACGTCTTGGTAGAGACTTATTATGCAGTTCCTAATATTGAGATTGGCATTGAACCGCTTTAGTGTAGTTATTTTACTGTAAGGTTGAGCAAAGAGTCGGTTCGGTTCAAATCGAGCTGAGGCCATAAAATACAAAGTGAAATCTTTTTACAACAAACTGAATCGGACTGAAATTTACATCTGAACTGAACAAATTGGTTTTTTCCATTTTGGTTTTGGTTTAAGCTCAACCGGCAAATATGTGTAACTGACTCGAATTGAGCAACAAATTCGGTTCAAACTGAATCTCTTTTGGACACTTGACCGAGCCGAATCGAAATGGATCAATTCAGTTCGGTCGGTAATTGCTGAATCCTACTTTGCTTCCTTTTTTGAAACTCCATACTTTACTGCCTTAGCTACCTGGTTTGTTAGGCTTTTTTTCTTGTTGATTATATAAATACATAGGGATGGCCACGGTTTGAATTCAAACTGGAATTGAATCGAAATTGAACCTGTTAAAATCGGCATTAAACTGTGGTCAACGGTTCTGGTTCTAAAACTATAACCGAAACTGTGAATTTAAGGTTCAGTTCCGATTTTTTATTTTTTGACACTGAAACCAGTGGTTCCGATGAAACTGTAAAAAATATGTTTTTAAAGAAACTCCCAACTCAATTTTTTTTTTGTTTTATTATAGTTTTTTAAAGTAATTTTTAAGAATTTCTTTTAAATTGATTTAGTTTTTTTCAACAGTAATATTTATTATTCAAGCTATAAATCTTTAAAAAATATTTTAAAAAGTTTAAAATATATTATTTAATTTCGGTTTGAAATTGGAAAAAAACCGAAATCGGCAGTTTCAAAACCGTTTTAGAAACCATCTAAAAGCGGTTTGATTTTGGTTCCATTTTTTTATAATCGGAACCAACGATTTTTAAACCGAAACCGACGATTTTAGAACTGTAGTCATGCCTATAAATACACGGAGCACTACCTATGTATCTATCCAGTGAAAATGGCAAGGGAGCGTTTAAATGGGAAAAAAGATGTTATTGAATTTAATAATGATAAAACATATGTAATCATCTATGCATATTTTATTTCTTCGTGATTTTCTTCTTTTAAAATAAAAATAATAATATAGGTAATCATATATATTTTAATTTTTCATGATTTTCATCATTTAAATAAAAGTAATATTATAACACTAACATAATATATTATTTATTATATATTACAAAATTATATTGCCTATTCTCGAAATTTGTCTGATGCTAATTAGGAATTATAATCCCTATTGAAGAAGTTTTGCACCATCTTAATTAGATAATATAAAATTTACGAATATATATGTATTGTGTAGAAAAAAATTTAATCACTACCACTTGGAGAAAAAGCGTTCTTTTGGTGATATTCGATTTTATTGATAATCTGATTACCACTTGTGGACATGGATTATACTTTTCCAGACTTAGTGCTCTATTTCTTGCAGACAGAAGTCGAGACAGTTACTTACAGGCAAGTGAGAGAATCAGAAACTAGGAGTTGCCAAATTGTCGTTTAGTTTGTTGGTACTCTTGGTTTGATGCCATTACAAGTAGTATTAATTTAATAGTTTTGTTGTTGGGCATTCGTTCAAGAACTTCCATACCTTGTCTTTTGTTCAATTCTCTGCTGGAGTTGCTTCTGATGTGTCGTTTGACTGGAATTCTCATGAAGAACATCTGGCAAACTCTAGTATAGTATTTGGCTAAACCCTGTAGCTCCTCTCAAGATCATGTTACTTGCCACATCCTGATAAGGAAGAAACAGGTGGGGACGATGCTCACTTGTGCCAATAAACAACTCATTAGTATATGTTGGAGAATGAGATATTGCTAAGACATTAGTTGAAAAGGAATGGAAGCTGTAAACGCTCAAATTTTGCCCTTAAAAGGTTCAGTGATGATATATAATTTTTTATATAAAGTTGGATTAGGATTTCCGATCGCTATGATTTTCGGACCAATGGTTCGTGGCTGAGATTATCTATGTGTTTAACTATTTTTACTTTTTTGGGTCACCGGGCGTTTCGCAATAAAACCAGGCTCGGGAAGCGCATCAGGCCTGCCCGGCACACTTTTCTATGCACCATCTCATTTTGCGTGCTACCCGGTTCATTTTAGTAAAAGTAGACCCGATCCTGTTGTGAGGCCAGACAGTGACATTTTTGCCACATCAGCCTAGATGGGGCCACCTTACCCTTAAATGTCTATAAATAGATATTAAGGGATGAGCCAAAAGGGGGAGAATTTTTGATTGCTAAGGGAAACTCTTACAAATTTTTCTCTCAACTCCCTTAACCTAAAATCTATAACAAGTCTTATTGATTTGGGTTGAGAGAGAAAAGTTTTCTAAAAGAATTTGAGTAAGTTGTAACCAATCTTTTTAAAAACCACATCTAATCTTGGATTTTGGACTATTGGATCAAGAGCTAAGTTGTTTGGGTTTCTTCATCCACTTTTGAAGAATTTGAGTAAGTTTGTAACGCATCTTTTTAAAAAACGCAACATCTAATCTTAGGATTTTGGACTATTGGATCAAGAGCTAAGTTGTTTGGTTTATCTTGCATTCCACTTTTGAAACTAATTCTTCAAAAAAAAATCCTCATAAAGGTAGTTTCTGAGAAATTTAGCTTCAAGTTCCTACATCTTTTTTCTTTGCTTTTTTTCGGGTGTTTTAAACACTCTATTGGGGTCGTTGAGAGGTAAAATTGAGGTCAACAAAAAAAATTTAAGAGGCTCTTTGTGCTTTGTGGCCTAAAGCACTGCGTGTGGCGTGCGCTACAGGCCTTGTGGGCTCAGCCCACAGTGAAGCCCTAGATGCCTTGTTTTTGAGCGGCTGTTCTTTGTGCTGAATCTGTCCTGATCTGGGAATGGCTGGGGGCCCCGCAACCATATGTGGGCTCATGGCCACATGCCCATGTGGCCGCACACGCATAGCCCCCTGTGGCGGCAAGGCCCTTCATGTTAAGAAGGCCAAAATGTTAAAAAACTCAATAAATGGCTCCTTTCTCAGCGACAGTCCAATGTACCTAGGCTCCAAATCCTAAAGGTTTGGGACGGCATATTTAATAGCAAGAAACGGCAAATAAACAATAAAATAATGGCCGAAGTTGTGAATTTATGGAATTTGTATCATCATCGCTTGAATGAACATCAAAGAATCATGAGGCTTAAATCTTGATTAACCAATTTGGCTTCTCGTCTTTTTAATTAATATTCTTTACATGACAATGGGCACTTTACTTCTTTTGGTCATTTAATTTTATGCACTCTTTTTAATTAAGGCCTTTAGTAGTTTATTATTGTACTGATCCTTATTCAACAAGTTTTATTTTTGTTCATGCATCGTTTCTTCATTCTTATGAGTTTGTATTGTCTGGTTGAATTTGGGAATGCATGTTTTAATGATTATGTAAAACATTTATCATCTTTGTTTGCTTATGTTGTTGTTGAATGTTTGTTTCTTATTAGATGTTCCTAAATGTTGTTATTGGCAAAAATGTAAAGAGAATGCTTAATGGATTCTCATTAAACGAGCTTGTTTGTAATAAATAGTTTGGGTTTGGGAAATTTGGAGGGCAATGGGTAGATTGTCAACAATTATTGCATGGTTTGTAACTCTTTTTCTCCATCCCCTCCTTCTTTGTGAATGCTTTAATTAGCATTTCAGTGCTTATGCAATGCTTGCAATAACTTGAGTGAATGACATAGTTTTCTTCTTCCAAAAATTGCGTAAAAAGAATTTAGACATCTCAATTTTAGACTTAAATCGGCATTAAATTACATTAGAATCTTTGACAATGTGGAGCGGCCGGTTTAGCAAGGACGCGTAAAGGGATTGGCCTAACCCTTCGCCATTTCGTACTCTAAACGTCTCAGACTTTGTCCTCGTAGTTTAAAAGCCGGATTAGTTGAATTTCAGAAGAGTCAACTAATTCGAGTATATTTTTTCCACTAATCAAGGGTAGCGACTCAAAAATAAAACTCTTACAAAAGTAAGAGAACATTTTTAGAGGATTAACGAAATGGGTTAGTATAAAGAAAACGCGATTTACTAAATAAAATGAAGCCAGGCGTTTGATTTGAATTTTCTTTCCAAACCTTTTGGGAAAATTTGCAATACATCCTTAGTAGCCCTTATTTTAAAAAAAAGAAGTATGACACTTAGGTGAAGAGTTTGGTAAAAAACGTTATTGTTTCATTTTTTTTGTATAAATGTAAGCTATCTGTATTACTTTATATTTGAAAAAGAGAAAAAAGAGTGAAAAGAATAATTTATGTGAGCTAAAGGGAAAGATAAGAGACAAATAGACGATTGTGAGCAGAAGTATGTAAGTGTAATTATGTTGAAATAATATGAAGAAGAAAAAAGAAAGAGTTTGTATGCGCCTTGGCGCATGTGAATATTATGTTTATTCCTTGTAAGTTTTCTGGCTATCTTTATTGTTTTGGTGTTAATGTTTTTGATTTTCTCCTTTCCTCTATATCTATTTTTCAACATGTGAATCAAGAACCTTGATCTTAAGCTTCTGTGTGTGTAATTTGAAGTGAAAAAATTTTAGAGAAAAGCCACCAAATAAACCAGAGATTGTGAGTTTTCCTTTGTTATGTTGCTTTCCTCAATGGCTTCCAACAATATTTCTTCTTTCACACACCATCATTTTAAATGGTGGAAAAAAACTACTATGTTTGGGTTGAAGAGTGAGAACTTATTTAAAGGGATGAATATGTGCAGTATGGTGGAGGAAAACAGAATACTCCACCTCTTTAGCAAAATCACACACCGCTTTAGCAGGGATTAGGCAACATCAAGAAGAAGGTTGCTAAGGCCCAAAAAAGTCCCGCATCCTAACATGCAGCTGTTTGTAGATACTAATTGTTGCACTAAAGCTTTCTTGGCAATGTGAGACAACTATATAAACTCGGAGATAGTTAAAGATTGA